TGTGTGTGTGTGTGTGTGTGTATACTGTGTACCTTGATAACTCTAGCTGTCTCTTCCATGTCTCCCAGGTCAATGTGTGTGTGTGTGTGTGTAGGCCTACTGTGTACCTTGATAACCCTAGCTGTCTCCTCCATGTCTCTCAGATCAGCTACTGTGTACACATGGTTAGACTCAGGTGCCGGAGATAACTTCTTACACTCTATGATGACCTGAAACCGTTATTATGGAAAACTGTAAATGACACCCAACTGATTATTCAAATAACAACCCCAATCTGTAAGTTATAGAGCAGCTTGTGTAAAGAGAAATAAAATGTTAATAAAACACATTGCCTTAGATACGAAATGAGAAGTTATACCGGCAACTGACCTTTTTTAAGAGATTTTCTCTGCGCGCCGTCAAAACAAGGTTTGCTCCCATCTTGGCGAAATGATACGCCACCTGTTCCCCAATTCCAGAGGACGCCCCGGTAATCAGCACTCTCTTGCCTCTCACCATGGCTGTGATAAAACCGATATGCTTATATCAGCCTTTTATCATTTTGATTTCTATTATAAATCTGGGCATTTAATAACGCACTGGTCTTTTTTTTAATTCATGTGTAATGACAAAGTTTCATGTGGCTTTGGGCAAACGACAGGTTGTGTTTATGATTTTGGAGACAAGGAAAAAATGGTACGAAATTCTTGCAACAGCATTCCTTTTTTTCGGTTTTAAATATGTGTTTTCTGGTTGTGTTTACGTAATGTAGTGCGGAAAGAGAGAGAGAGAGAGAGGTACACAAAATATGATCGACTTGCGTTTTTTCAGCATCACCAAACTAAGGGTCTATTCCCACAACTTTAGATCGATCTATCACCGCGGGAAGTCTCACTAGATTACTGTCAGATAATCCCCCTTAAGTGTCCGTCCCCGCCTACTACAAGCTGTAAGATGTAATTAACTTTCGTGTCCGCCCGGCTGACAGCTATTTAGCGTGAACCCCCAGGGAGTTAGGTCGATCTAAAGTAGGTCGATCTAATCTATGGAAATGGGGTGCATGTTGGTCTAACTAAAGTCATTAATCATTTACGCACACACAGATTACAAATATTACACATATCAGGCCCATTTCAACCGTGTAGAGTACAGTAGACGATATATGTACATCAGACTTAGATAAGGACCTGCAAAGACCGTTCATGCTCACCAGGATTGAAATCATCCACGTAGAGGGTGGCGATGTAGACGGCAGTCACAGTGAGGAGGACAGCAACCAGTGTTTTTGTCTTGGAACCCATATTGAATTATTTCTCACGTCTAGTTCTCAAACAAAGAGCATACCAGTACATGATACCCTTTGCATCCCTAAGTGACCTTTTAATGTATTCCCGGCCTACTCTCCGTTATATCAGTAGCATTGAGACCTATCGTTATTAAACTATGAACATAACATTACTGATCAGGTCAGGTTAGTACATAAGATAACAGGTACGTGTGAGGTACACTGGCTGACAGGAGTCTAAAGTCGATAATACTGAGGGCTCGTACAATTGGGGGGGGGGGGGGGGGGGTAAGACTGGGTCTGCTGTGTTNTACTGCAGATATTAAGAGGACACGAGACATTCACTTACACTTAACATTTAAAAGGTTAAATAAATAAGACTGAAGTAGCCAACACATGTGGCTAGAAACAAACGGTGGTATGGAAGTGTTAGGTGATCATCATGCACGTGTTGTGTACACACACAGACACTTGTCTTGTGCGTTCTTGTTTATGTTTTCTGGTTCAGACAGGACAGCCGGTAATTAAGGGGATATGTATAGACGGTTCAAAATGAGAGAACGATGTTAAACACAGTCTCCAAGCGTTTGATTATGAAGAACTATAAACCTTTTTCAAATTCATAATAGAAGTCGCATGATCTTATATACCATCAAATATAATGTTTATTTTTTACCGTCCCGAATCCAAAATCCTCTCAGAATCCAATCCATCATTGTGATTATATTGATTAACTTTTCTCCGAATACATTCTGGCTGCGCAAAAAATAGATTTGAACACCTTTTGGGACATGAGTTAACGCAGTATTTCACAATCAATATTATTTTAATAGAGTAGCTGCCGATAATTCCCATTACTCTAGCTCTGTTACTAATGAGAAACTCCATTCTGAATTTGATAAAAATAATGGTTAACAGTACCCCTCATAAGATAGGAGTAATTTACATTCAAAAATAAGCTGTGTAATAGATTCTACCGCTTTCATACAAAAGCTACACAATTTACTGCATCATATACACGTCTTACTAACACCTGTACATATGATGGCCTTACTCAAAAATCACCACAACAAATCACCGCTTCTTATTCACTGGTGACTGTTACTTACTAATATTACACACACACACACACACACACATACACAGTACACACACACACACACACACACTTATATGTGTCCATCTGACAGCCGAAAAGCACTGTGTGTTTGTGTGTGTGTGTGTGTGTGTGTGTGTGTGTGTGTGTGTAAGTGTGTGTGTAGCGACAACATAGATCACTGACGCTGTTGTGAATACAGTGTACCACTAGGAAATAATGGTGATGACGATCTAGAGGATGCGAACACCAAGAAAAGCAAGATCATCTTGTAACAAAAAAAGTGCTACATTTGTAAAATAAAACTAAAAAACACATGTCGGGGTTCTTGAAGAGGCTGTTTAATATGTTTTGGCATTATGTCACACTGTAAGTATGTTAAACGAAGTTAGGGTATAGTTTCAAATGCAGTTCTTTTCGGTCAATCATATTGGACACATGTACTTAGTTCAGTTATGGACCAGGTGATGAATAGTTTGCTTCTTACTCTCATTTGTTACAAAATCCAGGTCAAAACAAATCTTCACAAATCCTTGCGATATCATTTATTGTTACTAGTAACAAATACAGTCATTGGATTCATGCCGGAGTCAATGTTGTACTTGTAGACCCGTGCTTTGCTGGCTCAAGAACGTCATCATGATGAATGGCTGAAAGCAAGGAAAATGTATAGTATGAATATATATGTTATGATAGTCACTAAGCAATTTAAAGAAACTATTTAAAAGGATAGCAGTTCTTAAAAATGTATATTAATTAATTGCTGCTGGAACAGAATGTTCTGAGGATAGTCTCTCATTGTTAAAAGAACTAATACGACTAATAAACAACAAGTTTAAACAAAATAAAATTGAAAGCATATCAGGAACGTGCCTGTATTTCGTGGTATAAGCATTAAACACGCTAAAACAATATTGAGAACACCAGTGGGATTGGTTAAGTGCAGTATTTCCTGTCAGCAATCAAATCCTCCGAAAGTAGAAATGTTTCCTCAAATGCAAATTGAGGATGCAAAAATATTTTTTTGGTAGAAATATGAATCTTTTGAATAAATTCTCTCTCCATTCAATTCCAGATCAATCATTTATGCGTTCTACTAAAACAATAAATATTCATCATAATCCATGTGTTGATCTTGTTTTTAGAATTCTTAAATTAGGCTCAAATGCATTTATAAAGATCAACTGAAATTACACATGTAGATATAAAACACCCACACTTTCAGCAAAGCGCCTTCTTCAGGGACTGTTTAAGCATAATTTTAACATTAAAGCCACCTACAGTCACAATCATCATCAAAATGGAAGGACCTACTTAACTCTCGAGAAGGCATAAATAAATATCCAAACAGCGCACCTGAAATTAAGAATACATAAGGCATGTTAGCGACATTATGATAGGCTCCAACAAACATATGCTTGTGGCGTTATGATAGGCTCTTACAAATATGTTAGCGGCATTATGATAGGCTCTTAAAAATGTGTGAGCGACATTATAATAGGCTCTTATACACATGTTAAAGAAATTATGATAAGCTCTAAGAAACATTATAATAGACTTTAATGATCACTGGGAGGGTCTACAGTCTATCGGATATTTAGCTGCTATACCCCGATATTCAACCAGATCCAAAAATAAAAACAAGGCAGCAAAGCTGTCCAATACACAGACAGAAATCAGAAAACAATAATTCACAACATTTTAATTTTAACAATTAACTATATAATTTCCAGAAAAGTTGACAGGTTTTTCAATTGTAGCTGTATTTTAGTCCTAATTTACCTTTCTGTAAGTTTGAGAAGAGTAAGTGACATGGTTTTCCTTTAATGGTCACTATGGGGGCAGTGCCCACTTAATTTTTGATACAAAATTACATAATGCTTAACAGCATACTGACCATCAATTTTAAATAATAAAATAAAAGTACATGAATATTCAGAAAATGGAAGTTCAGAGTCACACCTTGAAAATGCCAAAATGTAAACTGTGATGAAATGAGTTTATTTCCATTTTCAACATCTTTTTACATAAAACAAAATAATTATTTTACTGTCATTTTTAATAGATCATCTAAGAAAATTGTTGACATAGGGAAANGCCTTGTTTACAGATATTCACAGATATGTCTCTAGATAGATAGACGGTCATTTTGGTTCAAACTCACCTGTTGAGAAATCCCATGTGGAAACAATTATCTCTGCGCGCCCGCCAAAGGCTTTGTACTCGCTCTGCATGAGCTGAGCTTCACAACGATGTGATAACTGCTCGTTACGTAACCAGTCTAGGGCTTTTTTTATCTGTCACAGAAGAGTAAGTGATTAAAGTCAGAGCAATTAACTGTCTTGATTGCTGTCATGCAGACTTTGACTGGACCTGCTAAGTGGCAGTGCCTGGGCAGTTATGCAAACAATTACCAGCCATGTAATCAGCCTTGAGATTTCTCAACAGGGTGAGTTTGAACCAAAATGACCATCTATCTATCTAGAGACATATCTGTGAATATCTGTAAAAAATCTATCAGTCGCCCTGGTAGAGGGTACATTATTTTGCTGTGCACAGAAGTGTTTTTAAAAGAGTGTTTGTATATAATGGCAATTCTTTTTTCTGCTAAGTGCCATAATAGAAATATTTTTTCTGCAGCAGTGGTACTATATGGACAATGGAAATAATGAATATAAACCTGTAGTGTGAGGTCAAATGGGATGAAAAATAACATTAAACAATATATATTTCCTGCTTCGCTGTAGTGCTGCATTATAGTTATAGTACTAGTGTTTCATTACAGGGTAACGAAAACACATTAGAAGTTTTTAAGCTAGTCTCTGAAGAGGAAATAGAAAAGCATTTGCACAAAAAACAGAAGAGAGCAAGAAAAAGAGCTAGGTGAGCGAAAGAATACCTAATTTTGCAATTCTTTAAAGCTGAAATGTAAATTGTAATGACTAATAATGAAATACTGCAGAATGATGTAGTGTAAGTCTTTTTAGCAACAACATACTGGGGTCATTTGTTTGTTTCAGTTTTTATTTTATTTAAAGTTATTTGATGATATATTATATATTACTTATCAGTTATATTTATGTGATTTTACAACTTTTTATAGAGGATGATTATTTATTTTAAACAGTTTAAACTTTTTCAGGGAGACTGGACAAGAAGGCTTGAGTGAGAATGTTACCCGGACAGTTGAAGATGAAATACAAAGATTGAGTCCGACAAAGCTGTCGAGCAAAATCAGGTCCTTTGACTGCATTGTTGACAGTGCAGAAATAGCAAAGGTGAACATCTTCACTATATACAGTGTATATGTAGATGCATGTAGTGGATAAATATTGATGTAATGGGGCAGCAAGCTAGCCCATCTGAGGTGTTAACCTAGGTCATTCAGTAATCAAGTCGTAAACATGATCTGTTGCTGTCTTTTACTGCATTAGATAATGTAATTACTCCATTTCCTACTTCTAAGTTTGGATCAAACAGAGTGTGAGACAGTTTCAAATTGATTAATAAGCTTACAGGGAATAATTACACAAGTGGAAATACTTTTCAGATTGTATGTCATTTAAGCAACAATACCCTAGAGCTTCAAAGTTTAAACATAAAAGAGAAAAAGCCTGTAGCAGAGTGTGTGACCAAACTTAGTTCGGCTGGACATCGGTCAGATGTGCGTAGTGTCTGTTTTAGCTCAGATAACACAGCTGTCCTGTCCACTAGTGGGGAGACCATGAAGGTGTGGAACAGGTAGGCCAGAGTTTGGGCTTATGTATGCTGGTTTTCTCTGCCTCTGTCTTTTACAAGATATGATAATGGGAACTGACCATTTGTATACATTATGAGGGATGCTAATGATAACCCTACTGGTATTTGCTGAAGAGAAAAAGTGGAGAAGACTCTACTTTGTTTGATAACAAAAGTTTACTGCGTTAGTTATTTGAAGTGAAACTGATATTAGTTAGATCTATGTATATGTATATGTATTGCATACATTTTATTGATCGGTCTGATTGATTTGTTGCTTTAAATTCATATTTCAGGACCACACAGCAGTGCATCAGAACAATTGACTGTGAGTACGGTCTGTGTTCAATGTTTGCTCCTGGAGACAGACATGCCATCATTGGAACTAAAGTGAGTTGATACAGCTTGAAATCTTAAAGTCAGTTGTGAGAAGTGTTTATCATATTCCTGTTAATTATTTTCAAATAATTGATTGTGTAGATTTGAACATTTAGGAGATGCTGCATAATCATATGTTGTGTTTTGTTTCAATTGATTTCAGTAAGATTATGTTTGACTTATTGTTCCAGAGTGGAAAACTTCAGATATTTGACATAGCTTCGGGATCTTTGCTGGAAAATGTTGAAGCTCACTTGGGTGCCGTATGGTCTGTATGTATGTCACCAGACAAGGTGAGCTCATTTCATTTCATTTGGTCATTTCATTCTAATTGTGAAATTATAAACTTACATCATTTTTAATGACACATTGTTTGCTTTGTTTAATATTTTTATATTATGTTCTAGAGAGGCATAATCTCTGGTAGCGCTGACAAAGAAGTCAAGTTCTGGGACTTTGAACTCATAACTGATGAGAAATACTCTAAGACGAGGTACGTCTAAACATTAAAGTGACAATGTGTGTTCATTTTTTCTTATTTTTTATAACATAAACAGAGAAAAGTATACTGATATCAGTGTCTGTGTATTTCGTTATATCTTTTCTATAAACTTTGATAGCTTTCATCAACTTTTCTGTCTGCACAAACAAAAACCTGCCTACCTACTGCTACTTTCTAGTCACTCACTCCTTTGAAAAGAATGAAAGTTAAGTTATAATTTTGATCAGGTGACAATTTTTTGAAACACCCAACTATTTTTATCCACAGCAAGAGGTTAACCTTAGTCCACACAAGAACTCTGAAGATGTCTGAGGAAGTCCTGTGTGTGAAATACAGGTATTTAAGTCAATGTAAATAAAATTTGTAAATTATGAATTTGACTTTTTTTGATAGAGCTTTACTTGCTGCTTTTGATATTTATGTTTTACATTCAATTGTACCTTTTGGGCAATGTTGAAGTAACACTCTTTAAAATAAAAAATGATTTTCTTTTCCTTTCCCAGTCCTGACCAAAGGCTTGTTGCAGTCTCCCTTCTAGACAGTACAGTAAAAGTATTTTTTGCTGATACACTGAAGGTAAAAGTTGCTAGATATTTTGATTGTATACAAAAGCAAAAACTAATGAACTTCATAAACAATGTCTATCATTCTCTTTTCAAAAACTAGGAACTTTAATAACTCTAGAATTTCTAATATACATACAATCTGCTGCCAGGATGACCTGAAATGCAACAGAACTTAAATGATGTACAGCAGAAATTATACTACAATTTCTGTTTTCAGTTCTTCTTGTCCCTGTATGGTCATAAGCTGCCAGTAACTTGCATGGACATCTCCTCGGACAGTTCACTGCTGGTGACGGGGTCGGCTGACAGGAATGTCAAACTTTGGGGACTGGATTTTGGGGATTGTCACAAGTCTATATTCGCCCATGATGACAGGTGCTTTCTTTATTTTTTCAAAATAAAGCATCTTTTTATCAAATTCTTATTCCTGAAAACTTACAATTGAAATCTAGTGTTTATTATTTGTTAAACTAATAAGTGTCCTTTTTTACCAAAAAATGGATCTATTTTCTCGACTTTTTGTACACTGTAGCTTTTGTTGATAACAGATTTACAGTACAGACTTCCTGTTAGTAAGATTCAGTTAAGAGACAAAAGTGAAGTTCATTTGGCTTCAATCCATTAGATGGTGGGTAGCCATTTAGTTTCAGGTCATTTCTGACATCGGTTTTGTATATTTCCAGCATCATGTGTGTTCAGTTTGTCACCAAAACCCATATGTTCTTCACAGGAGGCAAAGATAAAAAACTTAAAGAATGGGATGGTGACAATTTTGAGCATATTCAGACTCTCGAGGTAGGGAAACAAAGTTAGAGCAATGTTCTTTTGATAAATATACTTGACGTTGCATTACAAGTGTGTGAAAAATAAGGATATCACAATAAATTCTGTAATTATTTAGAATTTTCAAATACCTCACATATTTTTATATCTTTTCAAGTTTATAATTTTCAGTCACTCATAGATAGGCGCAAACCCTACTAACTTCAAAGCTTCCAATCAGCAAGTATGACCTACAAAACATTGTTATATTGAAAGCTATTCATTTTGCTGGAAAGTTCTTAATTTGGAATAAAGAGAGTAATCATTAATACATGCACATGTTTATACACCTATATTATATGCAGACAAACGCTTACATTTACTCCTGACACATCATGTCATTCCAGGGACACCATGCAGAGATCTGGTGCCTTGCTGTGAGTCCCAATGGCAAACATGTGGTGACGGGGGCACATGACAAGTCTCTACGCATCTGGGAAAAGACTGAGGAGCCTCTTGTATTGGAAGAGGAAAAAGAAATGGTGAATGTTAACGTGTATATTTTGATTCGACCAGTTATTGTTTTAATCAAATTAAGAATGAAAATGCAATAAGGCCACTTTCTTGATGAATTTTGTGAAATAAAAGTGATGTGTTTGAGGTCAAACCATCTACCTTGCATCAAGTATTGAGATTGTATGAGATTAAATTTGCATTTCTTATTTGATTGAAGTGGAAAATGAATATTGATTTCTTGCTACACAACAAAAGAAATACATGATTGAAATCGAGTTCTGTTGTTGCAGTTGTTTTGAATCCTATAATTTCAAATAATGTTATATATTTGCTGAATCTTGTAGGGCTTGAAAGGAACTTTTTATAATTGAAACAACTTTTCTGCTAATGATTCATAAATGAATTTTTTTTGCAGGAACGTGAAAAGGAGTACGAGGAAGCCATTGCTGATGGTGAAGAACCTGTTGTAAGTAACTTGCCTTTTGTTGAACCTTCATTGTGATGTGTCTTTATTTTTCATTTGCAAATCTCCTTCATTTTGATCACATATGATCTGATGAATTTTACCAAAAAATAAAGCTTTGAAAAAAATAACAAAATTTGCCCTTTATAGTGAACTTTAAACTTTCTTAATTTTCATTATAAAATCATAACTTAAGAATATTAATAACTGATTTTGAATTTTTGTTTTTATTTTTCAGGTCCCAGGTGAAGCAGACAGTGAAGTAGGAATGGCAGGCAAAAAGACTGTAGAAACAGTGAAATCAGTAAGTAGTGTTGATTACACAAAGCCACTCTTTTTACTGTGATAAAATGTTTTGAAGTTCGGTAAAGCTTACCTATAATTTAGTGTTAAATGTGAATATGTTTCTCATCTTGTAAAGTTTTGTTTATGCAGGCAGAAAAGTTGATGGAGGCTGTTGAAGTTTATAGAGAAGAAACAGCAAAGTACAAAGACCATGAAGCTGAGTGCAAGAGGACAGGAAAAGAGGTTTGTGTCAAAATTTGGAAAACATGATTGAACGATGTTGATATTGACCTCAAAATTATAAAGCTTAAGGAAAAAATTGATAAATTCCATTAAATTTTATGGTCATTTCTGAATGATACAATAATATGTTATTCTTAATTTTTTATATATTTGATTCAGCTTCCCCCTCCACAACTTCACCCACTATTTCAAGCTTATGGTGTGTCCACTCCTGCCAAATATGTACTGGAAATCATAAGGAGAATAAAATCTAGGTAACAGAATGTTCAGCCATATAGCAGGCCACTAATACTGCCAAAACTTAAATGTTTAACCATAAAAAATGAGCTCTGATCAGCATTCATGGTTACAAATAATTGATGCTGTACAGTTGTATAAATCCTCTGTTAAGGAGACACTAAATGCACAATTTGTATTTATACTATGTTTAAAACAAATGCACATAGATTATGAGATTAAAAAAAAAATTAAGATACCAAATGGATCCACATTTGCATCATTTTCATATTATGTGTTCTTATATGCTCTTAGTGAGTTGGAAGAATCCTTGCTGGTGCTACCATTCTCGTATATACCAGACTTACTAGGACTACTGAGCATGTTCATAGACAATGGATGGGAAGTGGAACTGACATGTAGATGCTTGCTCCTCTTACTCAGGTAGATACGACACATCTGTTGCTACACAAAGTTTTTGTAGTTTTTGTTTGGATAGTGTGTTAATGTATTCAGTATTTTATACAAAATTAAAATCAAACAGGAAGTTTCTGAATTTAATTATTTTATGAAAAATTATTTATTTATTTATTTCAACATTTCTTTTCAGAATCCACCATGGCCAGATCACTTCTAATCAGGTGATGGTGCCTGTTATTGAGAAACTAAAAACAAACACTTCCTCCAAAGTAGGAGAGCTTAAAGTAAGTGCATACATTGTTGATATCAGCAAAGTAGCAATGACAAATATTTTGTGGCGTGTTTTTTATGAGAACATGTTTTCAGTATGTTCTGTATATTAAAGGGATAACAACTCTTTGTATGAGATCTATATTTCACAATAAATACATTGTAAACAACTTGTGGAAATATAATATCCGTACTCCATTTTACCACAAAAGTGGCAGTTATATAAATTATCTGAAATCTGTGCATGCCATTTGNTATAAATTATCTGAAATCTGCATGCCATTTGGACTGCGTGACCCCCAAAGATGATTATACTCTGTAAAAATTTCAAAAAAAATTATTAAAAAAAAAAAAAAAAAAAAAGACAAACTTAAAAAAAAAAAAAAAAAAAACAGGGACTAACTTTGAATGTAGAAATGGATTCATTAACCATTGGTAAGTATGGGAAAATTGCCGTTCCAAGAAAATTTTTGGCCAAAATGAACAGTTGTTATCCTTTTATTAAGTATAAATGTCACAGATTATTTCATAATATTTTGATTATATTTGATTTTATGTACAGAGAAATTGAGGAACACTTTCAAAAAGTGTGACAAAAATTTTCTAAAATCTTCTTTCATGTTGTAGGATATTATTGGTTTCAACATGGCAGGACTTCAGTTTCTGAAACAGCAGATGGAACAGAAGGAGGAACTCAAATTTTTTGCAGATGCAACGGACAGATTTAGTCAGAAGAAGAAAAAGCAAAAATCAAAAGCTGTATTAGCATTTAAGACTTGAAGACTCTAAAACAGTGATGTTCATATAAATTAATTGCTGGAGAACTGATAAAAAAGTGTGCAAAACCAGTCTAACACTCCAAGAATTCTTAAAGCAGAACTTGGAGGAAAGGATCAGTGACCTGAAGACTGCTTTTATCAGTAATGGTACAGAATGGATGTAGAAAATAATGCTGATATAACTACTATTTTTCCTTTTATATGGCCACCCAAAATGTATGATTTTTGGGTATGATATCTCAAACTTTTGTTGGTCTCATATTTTTACCTGAATCTAATATATAGCAATAATAGTGATTATTGTTAGATTATTGCAGAAGCAGAACAAAATATGTGGGCCCGACATTTAATTGCTAGAAAATATAATGACATTTGAGTGACAGGATTACTGGGAAAGTAAGTGTATTTGTACTAGTGGACTGATGTCCTCGATTCATACCTCTGAAATGATAAAAGTCCTCAAAAGATGATTCCTAGAACTAAATCATATTTAATAAAATTGGAACAAAACATCTAGTTCAAGTGATCGATCACAACTATAAGATCAAATATTTAGGAGTTCCTGACAGCTGGGTTGGGTTGAGCAATGATTTGTTAGTAAAAGAAAATGTTTTCTTTTTTTTCCTCAAGTAGATTTGGTGTGAAAACTCCAGATCCATGTAGGGTAATATAATCTTTATAAGCATGATCTGCATGGCCACTTCAGTTCTACAGCCTGAAGGAATGATGTATGCCCCTAAATTTATTAAAAAAAAAATTGACGTGACCCTTAAAAAACTGCTAAACTTTCCTTTTAAGTTAATTGGTACACCAAATACAGTACATATGCAATACACATGGAACATGAAAACTCAACCTTGACGTACAGCAAATAAAATTCAATGATAAAAGAAAAAGCAATTAAAGTAAAGAACTGTTAATCCATTTAAATACACAGTAGAAGAGAATCACAATTCATTTAGCTACACGTATATGTGCTTTTTGCCTTTGATGTATGTTGAAAGAAAATGTAGTAGCCTAGTAGGCTTAAATCACTGGAATCTAAATGAGAATAAAATTATAAGAGCTGCTATATAGTGCTAATTATACAGTAAATAGTTGTTCAAAAACCAAAAGAGTGCATTTTACTCAATATCCTAATCATGGCTGTAAACCAGGGGCATAACCAATGGAAAAAAAATAGCCCTAACTATAGGTCGTTTTTGTGATAGCAAATGCATCCAAGAAAAGTTATAAATAGATAAATATGGTATACTTTAAAGCCAAAGGGATAACAACTCTTTGTATGTGATCTATATTTCACAATAAATACATTTTAAACAACTCATAGAAATATAATATATTCTATTTTACCACAAAAATGACAGTAATAGCAAAAGGCAGCAAAGCTGTCAAATGTACAGACAAAGAACAGAAAATAAAGATGCAAATAAGTGAAAAATTAAATTTTCACAAAAAACTGTTAAATTGCCAGAAAAAATTACCAAACAGACTGCGTTGCCTATTGAAGCTGTATGTTAGACCCATGTTTCGTTCCTGTAAGTTTGAGAACAGTAAGTGACATGATTTCCCTTAAATGGTCATCATAGGAGCAGTGCCCAAAATAGGGGTTTCTTNGCCCGTGGAGGTTCTAAGTCACATCTTGAAAATGCCAATATGTGAAAAATTAAATTTTCACAAAAATACTGTTTAACTGTCAGAAAAATTTACTAAACAGACTGCATTGCCTAATGAAGCTGCATTTTAGTCCCATGTTTCTTTCCTGTAAGTTTGAGAACAGTAAGTGACATGGTTTTCCTTAAATGGTCATCATGGGAGCAGTGCCAAAAATAGGGGTTTCTTCAAATTTTGATGCAACATTACATAATGCTTAACAGCATAATGACCATCAATTTTTAATAATAAAATATTAGTAACATGGACATTCAAAAAACGTCACCAGCAAAGGTCTTCAGGCTAATGGAACTTCAAGGTCACAGTTTGAAAATGCCAAAATGTAAACAAGACAGCACTGTTCTGACATGGGTTTATTTCCATTTTTAACACTTTTTTTAACATAAAACAAAATAAACAGTTTACGGCAATTTTTATATGATCAACTAAGAAAATTGATGAGATGGGAAAAATATCAATAAAACAGTGTTAAATGTCCAATTTCCTCCATTCTGAGATTCTGAACATACTGAATGATTGAATCTGACAAAATGCAATGATATGAGTTTGATTTCATTTTGACACTTTATTACACAATACACGATAACAAGTTTACCATCATTTCTACATAATCAACTAACAATATTGTAAAGATGCAGGAAATGTCAAAAAAACACTTTTACGTATCTTATTAGTTAAATAATAAGGCTATTAACATGCCTAAGAATTGAATCTGAGGAAATGTGAAAAAACAGAATAACTTCTAAAATAATGCCCCGATTATCAGTGTTGCATATATGCTGAAAAAAATGAAAAAAACAGCATAACTTCCATAAAAGTGGCTCTATCATGCTGATTTTCGAACTTGACCTGCATATTATAAATACTCATCAGTTCTGTAAGTTTCAAGACCAAAGGTAAAACAGTATTCCACTTATCGTGTTTACGGTGTTGCATATATGCTGAAAAAAAGTGAAAAAACTGCATAACTTCCCTAAAAATGGCCCGATCATGCTGATTTTCGAACTTGACCTGCGTATTATGAATATTCATCAGTTCTGTAACTTTCAAGCCTAAAGGTAAAACGTTTTTTCACTTATCGTGTTTACGGTTAAAGTGCACGCCAACGGCGACGGCGACGGCGACGGCGACAGCGACGACAGACGCAGATGACGGCTATATGTACAGACACATCTGTGTCTGTACATAACAAAAAGTGATAAATTTGTAAAATAATTAAACTAAAAGGTCACGTCAATGTTCTTGAAGAAGCTATTTAATGGGGTTTGGCATCAAGTCACACTGTTAGTAATTTCAAAGAAGTTGGGCTGTCGTTTCAAATTCGGTATTTTTCGGTCAATCATATTGGACACGTGTACTCAGTTCAGTTATGGACCAGGTGATTAATATTTTACTTCTTTCTCTCATTTGTTAAAAAATCCAGGTCAAAACAAAGCTTCACAAAGCCTTGCGATATCATTTATTGTTACTAGTAACAAATACAGTCATTGGATTCATGCGGGAGTCGATGTTGTACTTGTAGACCCGTGCTTTGCTGGCTCAAGAACGTCATCATGATGAATTGCTGAAAAACAAGGAAAAGGTATAGTATGAATATATATGTTATGATAGCCACCAAGCAATTTAAAGAAACTATTTAAAAGGATAGCAGTTCTTAAAAATGTCTATTAATTAATTGCTGCTGGAACAGAATGTCCTGAGAATAGTCTCTCATCGTCATAAGAACTAATACTACTAATAATGACAACTAGTTTAAACAAAATGAAATTGAAAGCAAATCAGGAACGTGCTTATATTTCGTGGCATAAGCGTTAAACTTGTTAATACAATATTGAGAGGGCCAGCGGAATTTGCTAAGTGCAGTATTTCCTGTCAGCAATCAAATCCTCCGAAAGTTAATTTATTTTCTCATATGCAAATTGTATTTTTTATTTTTCTTTTTGTAGAAATATGAATATTTTAAATACATTTTCTACCCATTCAATTCCAGAAAAATCATCTATGCGTGCTACTTAAACAATAAAAATGTATCAAAACTCCCGTGTTGATCTTGTTTTTAGAAATTCTTTAATTAAGCTTTAATTAAGCTCAAATGCATTTATAAAGATCAACTAAAATTGCACATGCTTTCAGCAAATCGCGTTCTTCAGGGACTGTTATTATAGAAATTCTACATTAAAGTCACCTACAGTCATCACAATCATCATCATCATCATAGTGCCTCCTTAGCTCTCGAAAATAAGGAGTCCTTAAATTTCCAAACAGCCCACCTGAAATTGAAAATACATGAGGCATTTTAGCCACATTATGATAGGTTCCATCAAACATATGTTAGCGACATTATGATAGGCTCTTACAGAGTTTTAGCGACATTATAACAGTCTCTAACAACCTATGTAAGTGACATTATGATAGGCTCCAAAAACATATGTTAGCGACATTATGATAGGCTCTAACAATCACTGGGAGAGTCTGTAGTCTAGCAGATATTCAGCTACCACCCCCAATATTTATTGCGATCCAAATGTAAAGAAAGGAAACAAAGATATCTGACGACTCATTACAAGAGCATTATCAATCTGTAGTGACGGATTCCATCCAGCTCTCTTGCTCTCTATCTCTCTACCTGTGCGCTCGCGCGCGCGCACGCGTCTGTGTGTGCTTGTTTAACTTACCGTAAGAAATAGTCATTTTCAGATAAATCCTAGGATTTAACTGCAATGACTTTCGTCTTCATGAAATGCTCATTGTTTTGGATATGGCACAGAATCAATATTACCGTTAGCATTAGTAGTGACAAATGGACCGCACTTTGCAAATAAATAAAACAGACAAACATGCATTTCTAAAACTTAATACTCACATTATATTTATTACGTTTCATTTCAATGGCTACATTATATTTCATTTAGTGTCCTTACCACATGGATGTGTAGTTTTCACATTTGTGGTTTGCATTTTACGGCAACTTGGTGCAGTATTAATTAAAGTCTGTCCCTTCCTAGAAATTGTGATACTGCTTTGTAAGTTCACGTTTTATGAAATCTGTCCTTAAATATTTTGTAATGACGTTGAAGGAATATGTAAACATATTTATATTAACAGTACATTTCATGAAATATTCACATTCTTGTGACTGGGTTTTCAGATCCTTTCATTTTCCCTTTCTTGCCTGTGCACTGACAGTTTTCCATTTGCATATGCTAACTTTTAACAATTAATTAGACAATTTAGGTTTTGTGCATTATCTTAATAACAACATGTCAGCTATTTTTTGTTCAGTTCACTTGTCATTAAAACATAATTCATAAATGATATATATCAGTAATACCTGGATACAAGACATGAACGTTCTTGAATTCTTTGTAAGTATCGAACCCTGTGTTTAACTTACCAACTCCTGGTTTCTTTTCAATGACATTCTGAAATTGTTTTCTTTCTTTTTATCTTTTTCAACGTTTTCCTTCAGATCTTTATAATGTTCTTTCCACATACCGTTTTCCTCTACATTCTTTATTGCCGATTATCTGATATTTTCTAGTCTTATATTTAGATAAGGTATTTAGGTATTTAGATCTTAAGAGATTTTAACAAAAAAAACAAACTTTTTAGAAAAAAAAACCAGAGACTAGCTTTGAATGTAAAAATGGATTCATTAACCATTGGTAAGTATGGGAAAATTGTTGTTTACTCCAGGAAAATTAATATTTTGGCCGAAACGAAGAGTTATTACCCCTTTAAGACTACTGCTGTAATGATTAAGATCGTGTAAGATCACTTGTGAACTTAAATTGCACTTTAAGACCAAATCCAGCCCACTAGTGTAGAGAGAGAGAGAGAGAGAGAGAGAGAGAGAGAGAAATCATTACTATCACTTGTCCTCTTCACTGGAGCAGCTGGAAAAAATGTGATAAAACATTTTATAAAACAAAATAACTGTTGACTCGCTTCAAGAGATTGCAGTCGAAACTTTCTGTCTCTTTCCCTGTGTGTGTGTGTGTGTGTGTGTGTGTGTGTGCTGTATACCTTGATAACCCTAGCTGTCTCT